GAAAAATGAATAATAAAATGAAAAATGAAAATTGTAAATAAAAAAATTTGTTCCTACTCAGTTCCTATCCAAAAGACCAAAACTCAGTAAACCGAACAATAGACAATGGTTGAAAAATAGTTTTAAAAGATTTTTTTTAACGTTTGACACCGGAGAGGGGACAAATCCGACAAATGATACAACGATAAGGACCGATTAAAATAAATAATTATTTTAATGATTCCACTCCAACAATTACATTGACGAATTGTGACAGATAAGATAATGAGTAAATAATAATAATAATAATAATAAGAAAAAAATATATATTTACTTATACTATTTAAATTCACTTTAATCCCGTCATTCGGTGCCACACCAACACCGATGCTCAACTTTAGTATCTGAATCGTTTATCGAACTATAGTGAGTATTGTACGCATTTACGTATCAATAGAATAAATTGGAATTCAGAATTTTTTACTCTATGGACGTATGGATTAATGCCCTCTGTACACGAGTATGTCGTGATTTCTTTTGTTTTTTATTTTTATTTTTTATTTTTGAGTTAAGTCTTATTTTCTATCACAGTGTTTGTGGCTTGTGCATTTTCGCAGCACTCGAGACATAACCTTACAGTGTGCGCGCGCACCTAACACGTGTATGCTGTGTATCAATTTCCATTCCATTGATATCGCGACGACATGAGTACCGAGTTGTRTATGTGTATACGTGTCCCCTCAGGGGGCCCTTGCCGGAAAGAAATTTAATTCTCCGCTGTCYGAGTGAACCGTAGATTATGTTTTAAAGATTATATTCAATTATATCATATAGCATTAAATTAGGCACTGTCTTACAATATTATTATGAGATTAGTTGATATTATTAAATAATAATAATAATAATCGAGATTATTAACATCAATAAGTACCCTTGTATTTGTACAGTACATAACGTTGTAAATAAGGCGGGATAATCTTTCAAGCGGACATCAATAATATGTTGTAATATGGTTATGAAATCTTTAATCACCAATCTTTATTAATTGGACATAGATTAAATTAATCATGATGCGTACACATATAATAAAACAAAATAATAATATGATATAATACATGACGTGTAATATTGTAATATTGTAATCTATGGGCGAACACTGAACGACGTACGTTCGTATAATTGGAATAATTGGATACTATATTATGGCAATTATTCTATAATAGCATTCAGGTTATTAGGCTGTCTTATATTCTTATCGTTTTTCACTTGTCGTTTT